TTTTCCACGGCAAGAAGAGAAGAAGATGAAAGGGTTGACTTCCTATTACCCTCTTCATCTTATCTCTTAACTTAATTCTCCATTATTGAATATTAAATTCAATTTAATCCAAATGACCAAAATATCCTTTTAATCATCATTTCTTACAATTTAGTCTAAGCTATGAATCCTATTCATCCTCGTCTTTCATTACTTAATTTAATAAATCCTCATATTTTTAATTCATTTCAATTTAATCCTTAGATAAATTTTTGGGGCATTACAAATCATATTAGGGTTTTTATTATTTCAAATTAATTAAATCTATATTTAATTAATTGAAATTAAATATTAAGGATTTTTCAAACATATATTTAATTAACTCTAGATATATATTTTAGTAACGTACAACAAATTGTACATATTTGCTCGTTTTAATCCTAGGGTGTGACCTTGTAGGTTCTTGTAACGTTAACAGTAATTATTAGAACAATTCTAATATTACATACAATAAGTGTCATCTAACAATATATCATTGTCACCTAAGTTACAAGAAAATATGATTCAACATATTATCTTGGTGATTAACTCTTTTATGTATTACATCCTTATGTCCTTTATATCTAGAATAGGTACAAGTCTTGGAATAGTCACACTTGTATATCCCATCTATTGTTTCTTGATATCTAGAGTGGACTTTAATTAACAAATAGTTTATGATATCTCATATCAACTTATTCAAGCATGGCCATGTGTTTCTAGTCTTACTCAATCAAGTGGTATGTGATATATTTCCTATTATGTAGGAAGGACAAATCCTATCTTAATTATACACACCCACTACATATATTGAGATATATTCAATAACAGTCTTTATAGAGAAACCAGTTACGGAGCTTGTTTAGCTGCATCAAAACATACAACAATATATGTTGGGATAATACTGATCTCAAGTCTGAGGATCATACATATAGTCATCACCATGAGCAACGTTATGACTATCACATAATAATCAAAGACATATGCTCATGGTCGGTCAATCCAATACATTGTTCTCTAACAATATAATCATGTATCAATTCTGACATCTCTATGTCAATGACAACTCGTTGTCATCAATCAATAACATGTTAGTCTTAAGTGTATTATTATTGTCCATGCCCATAATAATACTTGACTAGGGATCTTTTAATAATAACAATTATGTCATTATATGGACTTTATTATCTTCCAGTTTATGTTAAACACATATATATAAACTAAAAAGAATAGCGACAATGCCTTTATTCAATAAAATCGGTAAATAAAAGTATTATTACAATCATCATATGATTGGTCTTTGGGCATACTCTAACAAAATGTATCACCATAATTTTAGTAGTCGACATCGTAGAGATTGACGTTTATGTTTATTCATTTGTGTTCATTTATCATTTAAATGAATGAATATGAACGAACATGAACAAGATATATTCCTTAACAAACGAACATGAACAATAATTTTTTTTATTCGTTTATGTCCGTGTTCGTTCATTTGTTCGACTAAAGTTAAACGAACGAACATGAACATACCCTTGTTCATGTTCGTTCGGTTCGTTTACAGACCTACCTGTAGGCCTTAGACATATATGTATACTTGCATCAGTCTAGTATAGTAGATATCTTAAAGCTTGGCTTGAAGGGTATGAGAGACCAAGCTAATGCTTCAGTTGAGCAAAAATTGTACCGATGGTATATGACACAGGGTTCTCCCTCCATGATCAACCTGATGGTTATGTGAGGACCAAGAGATCATTCAACTTCTTAGTGGGAATTGCATCGATGCTATGTGACACCAAGTTCCCACAATTAACTAATATCAGATAGCTATGTGAAACCAGATACTAGTTAAGGTGCATTAAGATAATGCACAATATCGTTATGTTTGCATTCAGATAATGCACGATATAGTCAAATTTTCATTCAGATAATGCACAAGAATATTAGTGTCGTATGTAGATAATGTGTATTAGTTACAGTCATTAGTGTTAGAGACCCTTTAGAGGTGTACTCATGGCAAGGCCCTTAACAGACGATTGAGGGAAGCGTGAGACTCCTACTTTAGTGATAGATCAGTTGAATCTCGAGTAGGTAGCATTTGATATAGATTATGCATATACCTATTTCTTAGTACCATGTCTTTAGCATGCTTGTGTTTATGAAACTCATAATGTTGCTCTAGATTAGCAATTATACTGTTGGGCTTTATGAGTTCAACCTTTAGATGTTTTCTGTTTCTAGCTTGGGTTGTTCGTGGAGCATCATCGCAGTAGAACTTTCGGCATCTCCTTCAGAGTATTGTACTATAACTTTAGTGGGCATGTGTATTCAGAGAACCTTATGTATTTGTTTTATCAAACACTGAGATGTATTATTTTTGGTTTTAGATTATGTGTCATGAAGCTCTAGTTTATAAAATGTTTTTATAATTGTTATTTAAGTTTGTATGATATCATTGAATATATATTAAAAGATGAATGAACATGTTTTAAAAATCAGGGGTTGTTTCGGCAATCCAATATGGCACTTTAGGCCTATTCGGGTTTAGGGTGTTATAGTTTTGATTTCTAATTGGCATGTATACGTATAGTAAATGTTCTTAATATTGTGATTTGTAGTAAATTACATGTGTGGATTTTTAGTAAGTAATATATAGCTATGAATATGGATTTTAATATATGTTATGGTAAAGTTATATTTTAGTAATGTAAAGATAATTTTGTAATTAGGTAGTTTTTAGGTAGTTTCACTATTTATATAAAACATTATTGAAATGTTATGTTGCTGTCTAAAATCGGAAGTGAAAAATATTTTTAAATATTACTTACGGTTTTACGCGATTAAGTGTATTTAGTAAATTATGTTAAATTGTATAATTTTACATAAACAAAATTTTTACCGATTTTCAAATAGGGAATTATTTTAAATGTTTTATGTGACATCTCTAACTCGTGTTCGGTATCGAATACGAGAAAGGGGTGTTACAACACAGGCCCCAAGGTACTTCCTTATGTTGGCTCCTATGCCAGCATAGGCCTAGGGTAAGTCTTTGTGGATGTAGTTATGGGGAACTGCATATCGGTGTTCGAGTTGAGGGTATTACAATGATTTTAAAAATATGTTTTTATTGAAATAAACTACTACTATTGTTTTTAAACTATGTTTACATTTATTTATGGTTTTGTGGGAACATATTATACACCCATTTTAGATCTCCTAAATTTATATCTCTAAATGTTTCCTCTAGACTGTAGGTTTCCTATCTATTGCTTGAAGAATTAATTAAATAAATTCCATCTCGTCACGAAAACCTGTAGATGCATGAATCAATAAGATAATTTTATGCTTTTTTTTTTGTATATCTACTTATCTTTTAATATCATTTAGTAGTTCTGTATTACCGAACTGTTGACATCAATAATGGAAGTTATTTCGGCGTCTTATAGGATACGATACATATGTAATCAGGGGACATGTATGTCACTTTTTACCTGTATATTAGAGTTTGAAACTGGTTTTGGTACTAAATATTAATGGATTATGTTTAATATATGAATGATTTTTTTGAATTTGTGTTTTTATTTACAAATTGTTTTACGGTTTAAAATGATTTAACAAAATTTTTAATTTTTCTTAAATTTTGACTATGAATTACTTTGGTGGCCTTAATGTGATACATCAGATCGAATCAGATCGAATCAGATCATCTGTATAAGTCTGAAGGGGTTAAAAAAACACTTTTAGACATTAAACAACATACATCTAGAGAGGCTAATGTAAACTTTAGATTTCAAACATTCCATTTTGACATTTTTTTCATTTCCCTTTTTATATGGAATTGAAAATTTCAAGTCCATAAAAAATAATTTTTAATATTTCAATTTCAAAATTTATTTATTTAAAAATGAAATTAAATCTCAACTCTAGGAAATCTATATTGTTTTTATTTATTTTAATTTAAAAATTGTAAGATTAAAGAATTTATCGATACATAAATACTTTTTTAACAAATGTAATATACCAAATTTAAAATTATTATGAAATGAAATATTAAACGTTACCTATTTTAATTTAAACAATTAATATGTTTGAAAAAATATAAAATAACAATTTAACTGTTCATTTTATAAAAATAAAATGCAAGTTTCATAAAAGAAAAAAGAGGGAACAAAATGATTAAACAAATAAGGGTAATTATAGATTTAATATCTAAACTATCAATTTTGATACATTTTAATACTTAAACTTTGAATTTTTTTAAAATCATATACTTACAAAAAATAGTAATAATTTAAGTGTTCATCTTATAAAAATAAAATGTAAGTTTCATAAAGAAAGAACAGGGAACAAAAAGATTAATAAATAAGGGTAAATTATAGATTTAGTATCTAAACTATCAATTTTAATTCGTTTTAATATCTAAACTTTTAATATTTTTAAAATTATGCCTAAAATTTAGTTTTGTTTCATTTTAGTACCAATTCAAAATGTAACATTAAATTTTTAAAAAAATTTGAAGTTTAGAAATTAAAATTGGTCAAAAATGATAGTTTAGGTACCGAATGCTTGAAGTTTTTAACGGTATAGTATTAAAATAAAATAAAAACTAAATATTAAATATAATTTTAAAAAAACTAAAAATTTAAATAGTAAAATAAATCAAAAATAATAATTTATGTATTAAATGTGCACTTCACACAATAAATAAATACGTTGGAAATTTTGTTGCATTCGAGGAATCAAGCAAGAAAGGCGGGAGAGCATTGAAAACCAAACCAACAAGCGCGCGAAATTCAAAAACAAAAAACCACTAAGTTCCGCCAATTAAAAATCTGAAAGGCCGCCTATTTTAATCTAACAAATCACAACCGTCCTCGTGCATCTATACATACACACGTAGACTCAGTTCTAGGATTTCCCTGTCTTTTAGAGATCTCCCTATAAACCCTGAACCAGTCTCGCTCCTTGAGATCTCTATCTCTCAATATCTAGCCTTTTCCCCTTTTAATTTATTGTTTTTTCCCGAGTTTCAGCAAATAATGAGTCTTTCGAATGAGCATAGTGTTAATAGAGCTATGAATCCTTGGGTTCTTCATCTTCAAAAACTGGGTCTGGAGCTTAAATGTCCTCTCTGGTTGTCTTCTCACACACTGTTCATTTTGCTGTTATTTGGTTTGTGCTTTTTTGAATTTGAAGTTATCTGAAATGTTATCTTTTGCAGTTTGAATTTGTTTAAACGGCCATTGTTGATGCCATGCGACCATCTGTTTTGCGAGTTAGTCTCTCTCTCTCTCTCTCTCTCTCTCTGTATATATATATTTATGAAAGTTTTGGTTTTTATCTCTTAGTTTTCATTTTTTTTAAATTGTTACAGTTCATGCATAGCCCTAACTGAGTTTGGATCAGAGTGCCCTATTTGCAAATCCCGATGTGCAGATCGAGGTGCATTTCATTTAACTGCTTCTTTGTTTCCACTCCTATAAAGTTATTGGGAGCTAAATAAGGTTAATTTTCGGGGTTCTCTTATGGCCTATAATTTTGTGTTGATTTTGGTTGCGTGCACTTGGAGATTCTCGTTTAGATTATTTTGAGTTTTGTTAATTTGAATTTCTCATTTAATCTATTAATTCTAAAACCAAATTAATGTAATTTTATTGGTGTTAGGATCCGCAGCTCTCTACTTTTCCATGACTATTTGAAAATTGTGTATTACTTTATATGAGTTTCGTCTTATGGCTGAAAAGGACTGTGCTGGTTGCAGATCTAAGGCCTTTGATCTTCATGGAGAATATAGTGGGAATCTATAGAAGTTTGGATGCAGCATTTACTGCAAATCTTTCTCATTCTATTGAAGACGGTGTTGGCAAAACTGATAAATTTGATAAGTGCAGCATTCGAAGGTGTATTTCGGTTAAAGGTTATGATACTCCTAACAAAGATGTGGTTACATTTGATAGTTCCGAGAAAGTTGGCTTGCATGTTAATCAAGTGGATCAAGCATCGCTCAGCCCTCCTTCCAGTGGCGATACAAAGACATCCGGCAATGATAGTGAACATGTAAGTCTTATTTTTCCAATCATATTATGTTGTAGTTCAATGTATGGTATCTTAAATGGTCGTATGGTTGCAGATCAATGCCGGTTCCCTCTAGTTACTTCTGTTCCTATTAAACTGTCAATTGTCTGTTATGTGTTTCCCCACATGGTGTTAGGCTGCTGATGTTTATACTAATTTTGGGAGCATGTTATCATGTATATGATACTGTTGGTTGTTAGAGTGTATTTTGTGGTATTTATTTCCTCCCTGAATAAAATTTCAGTTTACAGTATCACTTGATGACATGGATCCTAATGATTTTTCAGAGTCTTGGAAACTATTCATCCAAGGGTGCTGGTAAGAGAAATTTTGATGATATGATAAGTCAAAAGCAGGACAATTATTTTTTAGGGATTGACGGCCATTCTTTGGACTCCATTGGTCAAAAGCGGTTGAACTATGGGGAGTTAGATATGGTTGTCAAGCCTATGGATCATTGTCAAACAATTCAGAATGCTCAAAATGTGGTGACTTCCGATTGTCAATTAGGATCTCGAAATGAGCCATCCCTTGCTGTTTCAAATCTTCCTGTGACATCAGATAACCTGTGTGGAAGTACAACCATTTGCGCATTTTGCCAGTCCTCTAGAATGTCCGAGGTAAATTCCCACTGAGCCTTATTTGATTATTCCTTTTATTGGTGTTTATAAGTTAGCGTGTGTTCTCAAATTTATCAGGCCACTGGAGTAATGCTACATTATCTCAATGGAAGACCAGTAACAGGAGATGCATCATTCAATTCAAATGTTATACATGTTCACAGCTCATGTATTGAATGGTATTTTACTAAGTATTTTAAATAGTATAATATTTAAGTAAAATGGATTTTTTTGAGGATGGGAGTTTCAGTGAAATGCCCTGTCAATGTATTCAAATGCAGGGCACCTCAAGTGTATTATGTTGGCGATTCTGTTAAGAATCTTAAGGCGGAACTTGCAAGGGGTGCGAAGTTGAAGTGCAGCAGATGTGGGCTAAAGGGGGCAGCACTTGGCTGTTATGTGAAGTCTTGCCGCAGAAGTTATCATTTCCCTTGTGCAAAAGAGATTCCAAAATGTCGATGGGACCATGTAATTGCCTTATTAGATATGTTTTTATTCTGTGACATTCTGACTTCCCCCTCTCTATGATCATGTGTCAATTTTTGCTCATAATTTTTTCTCTCATAGGTGACTTTCTTGTGCTTTGTCCTGCCCACTCTTCTGTCAAGTTTCCAAGTGAGAAGTCTAGAAAAACCCACTCTTCATCCAAGTTTCCAAGTGAGAACTCTAGAAATGCCCACTCTTCATCCAAGTTCTTGAATGATAAGTCTGGAAATTGTGCGCCTGCTAATGATGTCATGCCAAATGAAAGGTTATTAATCAATGGAAATATCTTGGATGTCTTTCAGATGTATATGCCTTTGCATTCTTATTGAACGAGTTGCTATCTTGGTTTTAAAAGGAGCGAGGTGCAGCCTCGTGCCGAAAAAATCGCCCGCCTAGGTCTGGGCGAAGTGGCATAAGAGAGGTGCCATGAGACGCGTGCCTCTGAGTCGGGGCGCACCTGTGCGCTTTTGAAAGAAAATGTAGATTAGATCAAAGAAGAAGATAGGATAATAGCAGCAGAAGAACATTGGTGAAGAACAATGGTGAAAAACGGCTAGGACAGACTCATTTTTTTACTATCTTAACTCTAATACATAAAGTTACTTAACCTATTAATCAATCAGCTCAAGCCCATAATAACTTTTTAATCTTTTACTTGCTTTGAATAAAAAATACTCTACTGCCGTCTATGCCTTCTCACCTTTTATATTCTTTCTTTATACTAATAAAAATAAGATCTATTATAATAAATTAATGTAATAAATATTATGCTATTGCCTATGCCCATCACCCTTCTTTATATAAAATTATCTAATATATAGATAAATAATTAATATATTATTTTTATAATTATAATAATTTTTATATAATTTGAAATATAATATAATTATAATAGCAATGTTGCCTTAGGATAGGTGTTATTGTTCTTTGTTCTTTTGTTAATTTGTGTGGACATTATTATTTCACATAGTTGAAACATGCAACTATTAGTTTGTTATAGTGTAAGTGTACAACCCTAATTGTTGTGAAATGCTTTGGAAGGTAAGGTATTGTTTTGGAAGGTAAGATTTTGTAAATGGTAGAAATAGGGCTTGACTCTTGAGGGAATAAACTATAGTAAAGAAACAGTGTATGAAGGAAATTAAATATTTTGGGAGTGAACCAGGAGTTAATAGGTGTGGATATGTTCTAAATTAATTTATAAAAAAATTTAGCACAAAAAGTGTCTCACATACGAAAGGCGTCTGCTTGTGCCTAGGCTCTAGGGACCTTTTTCCCTCGGTGCACCTTGCGCCTTTAAAAACCAAGATTGCTATTCCAATTTTTTCTTGATTTTTCTAGTTATGGAAGAAGTCTTAAACTGATTATTGAATTGCCTGGAGGGTGAAATGATTGTAGTTCTGCATGCAGTGGTCAGCTGAAATTTAACACCTTTTGGGGCCAGCCAGAAAATAAAAAAGATTGGGTTTTCTGTGGATCTGCTTTGTCTTCAGAGGAGAAGGTCAGATTAGATGAAGCTCATATTTTGTTTTGACCATCTGATGATATTTTTCAAGCATTGATTTCTTTTAGCTGATCTTGTTTGGTGTTAAAAGTTTGAACTTTAATGAGTGATCAAATAGATGCTTTCTATCTAATTTGAAGATTCTTTCAAGATAGGATATCCTTAATGGCCTTCTTTTCACAACAATTGACCCTCTTATGGTTTTTGCTTATTGTTTTAAATTGTTGCAGTTCCTTTTGATCAAGTTTGCAAAAATGATTGGCGTAATTGTAACAAAGTTTTGGAGGTCGGATGTCACTCATGTGATTGCTTTTACGGATGAGAATGGTGCATGCACCAGGACACTTAAAGTTCTCATGGCCATTTCAAATGGGAAATGGGTTCTTAACATAAATTGTAAGTTCAATTGAATTTTACCTCACTCTATATCCTTGGCCTTCTTATCTTTTTCCTCGTTGAATGTGTGCTGGTTATTATTCACCATCACAGGGATAAAGGAATGCATGAAAGCTATTCATCCTTTGAACGAAGAACCTTACGAAGTAAGCCTCGACAACCATGGGTGTTGTGATGGCCCGAAAACTGGCAGATTCAGGGTGTTGAATAATGCAAGTATTTTCTATAATGGGGTTCAAGCCCTCTAGTTTTTTGAAGCTGGTAACGTTGTCATATCTGCAAGCTATTAACTTGTTTTTCTTGCAGGCACCGAAGCTCTTTAATGGCTTTAACTTTTATTTTGTGGGTGACTTTGTGTCTGGTTATAAGGAGGATCTTCAAAATCTGGTTGCCACTGCAGGCGGTAATATTTTGGGAAGAATGGAGGATCTAATTGAACATAATAATAGTGGCAGTGATCAAATAGCTCAAACAAAGACGGTTCTTGTGTATAATTTGGATGCACCTCAAGGTTCAGAGTTGGGAGAAGAAGTTACTATTATTTGGCAGAGGGTTAGTGAAGCAGAAGATTTAGCCACAAGAATAGGTGGACAAGTCATTGGTCACACATGGCTTTTAGAATCAATTGCAGCATGTAAATTACAGCCTTTTGTCAACAAAGATTCATAGTTTATCATTTTTAGCTGGAAAATGATAAATTCATTAACTTTTGCTTGTCTTAGAAGTGTTAGAACTTGATTTTAAACCTTTTTTTTTCTGTTGTATGTATTGATATTTACATTTTGCATTATTGAAATAATGTAGATGTAGGTGTCATAAAAAGTTATTTATTGAAGTAATACTTATTTTATCATGTAATACAAAAATGAACTTGTTCCAATAAATATTCAATGTTTTAATTAGGTATGAACAAATAGATTTGAACCTATTATTCTGCTATTGTTGGTATTAAATTGTATTATATGCTGGGATTTTTTTTTCAAATATAATGATTACTTGAAATCTCCTAATTTATTATTCTTTTTCATCCATTAAGTATTAATTATATTATATGCTTACGCTTTGTTTATATGCAGTCTTTCAATTCACATTATGACCTACTTAAGAGGATACATGTGCAACAAGCCCCTTCATTACTTTTCTCACCACACCTAGAGATGAACATTTATCGGATTTCAAACCGATCCGGATCGGTTTTTATTCGATCCGGTTTTTTCTCATAGAAAAAAAACCGGTTTATAAAATAACCAGTTCGGTTTTTAACCGGTTTGGAGGGCCGGATATCCTAACCGGTGTAACCGGTTTCGGTTTTAAAAAAACCGGTTTTTTTAAAAAACTGGTTATAAAAAAACCGATTTTAATATTCCAGATTACTCATAGGGAACCGATTCCCCCCCAAGGGGGTACTGATTCCTCACTGAATGGTTTGGCTCCGAGATTTCCAGAATGCTCGGAGGGAACCGATTCCCCCATAGGGGGTACCGATTCCCCCCTATTCAACGGTCGAAATATTTGAATTTTACACTTAGGGAACCGATTCCCTATGAGGGTACCGATTCCCCCACGCTCCAAGCATTTTTATTAAATGTTTTCACACTTAAACGGCTATATTATCTTCATTAATTATCACTAAAGTTCAGAAGTGATTCAAAGTGTATTTAAGCAAGCTTAGAAGCCATTGATCAAAGACAAGAAACATCAAGCAACTAGAATCAAGAGATAATCAAAGAGAAATCATCAAACCTCAAGTTCGATAAATTTAAATACTTAATTGAAATACTTAATTAACTCAACATAATTGAAATACTTAAATACTTCCAAGTTTGATAAATTCAAATACTTAAAAACTTCCAAGTTCGATAAATTCAAATACTTAAAAACTTCAAGTTCGATAATTGAAACAAAGTTTACGATAATTGAAATAAAGTTATAAAATAAACTACATTGCCATCTCTTCATCATCTTCGGCTTCTTCGTTTGGAGGGGATATTCCAAGTTCGACTTCTTCAATGTGTATGTTTGCTTCCAAATCGGCATCAATTGCATCTTCTAGGGTGGTGATATGTTGCTTACGAGCCGCTCCATCCAAATAATCCTTTAAACAAATGCATACTTCCACCGACTCGGGACTTAGTCTTGATCTCCGTTGCGATATAACCCTGCCACTAACAGAAAAAGCGGATTCCGAAGCTACCGTAGAAGCTTGGACGGTTAGTAAATCACGGGCCATGGCGGCTAGAATCGGAAATTGTGCTTCCTTTTCTTTCCACCAAGCCAAAATATCCAAACTTTCAAACTCTTCAAATGTCATTTTTGATAGAAAATCGCATGACATATAATTTCCCAACTCGCTACTTGGGGTGGTAGTACGTGATCGTTTGGATTGGGAATTTACAAGAGTGTTAAAAAGATTCAAATTTATGTTACTTGGACGTCTACTAGATGATTCCGCATTCATTCTCATTTGATCGTGTATTACACTACTTGATCCGTATTTATTTAAATAAATTGCAAACATGTCTCGAAAACATTTGTTAAAATAATTTATTTGGTTTTGGACAAAGTTGGGTTCATCATCGGTTAGATTAAAAGCAAACGCAATTTGTTCAATTAGTGTTTCAACCCCACCAACATTTAACGTTGGGTTTAAAGCGGCGGCACAAGTAAAAATGGGGGGAATCTCCTTAAAATATTTTAAAAGTTTTTCCTTCATTGCAAAACCAATTTCTTGAAAAACTTCGGTTTCAAATTCAAAGTCATTTAGTCGGGTAGCCAACAAAAATATTTGATTAAGAACCAACAGGCTAGTAGGGTAATAAACACCGGATAAAAAAGTTGTTGCATTTTTAAAAACCTCAAGCAAATCGGTTATTTTGGCTATAGTTTCCCAACTCGAATCCGGATAAATGTTTGGGACATGACCCCTCTCGAAAAGCCGATCGTGAAATGTTTGCAATGTTTCCCTTTGCCTTAAGGCAGTATGCATCATCATCCAAGTTGGTTCCAACGAGTTGGACAATCCAAATTAGGACCCAAAGCTTTTTATTAACGGACTTACAAAATCGTTTATAATCATTTAGTCTTTTGTTGTTGTTACAAAGAACCGATTTTATCATTGTTTTGAATTCTAATCTAATCGGCTCAATAACCTCCAAACGGCTTGCACGGATAAATTAATTATGTGTGCAACGCAAGGGTATGAAAAAACGCACCGTCTAAAATCGGTGAAAGTAATATTTCAATCTTGGAACCGCGTTTGTATTATTCGATGCATTATCAAAGGATATAGAAAAAACTTTATTTTCTAATTTATAAAGACAAATTACCCTTTTTAAAAGTGTAAATAAATTAACACCGATATGCGGCTCACCGAATAATTCAAACGCGATTGTTCTTTTCATCATTTGCCAATTATCTTGATCTAACCAATGTGACGTAACGGCTAAAAAGAATTTCCGGTATTATGAGGGGAACTCCAAACGTCACATGTAAGCGACACACCATAACGGTGTTCTTGGAATCCTAAAATCATTTTTTTCCCTCGCCGTACGCCACATTTTTATAGCATCTCTTCTAAGGGTAGTACGACTTACTTGAGTATAACGTGGTTGCATTAGTTGTTGAATTGTTGTCGTGAAATCTTCATCATCAAGTGGTCGAACGGCAATGCTTTTGTAATCACGAACTTTGTAAACGCTTCTCGTAATTTTTCGTTGTCGTAAACAAAAACCCACCTTGCGGTGTAAGATTCGATTGACTAGGATCCGATCTTGAGCGAAGTGCCTTGCATGATTTTGTCAAATGGTTCTTCAACGTTGTGTTTCCTTCCGATGCAAGAAACTTTAGACAAAGTTTACAACGCGCCCTCCTCGAGCCATTTGACATCTCACATAAATCGTAGTGATCCCAAATGTCTTTGTTTCGAGTGTGTTCGATCACTCTCACGACTTCAAGGTTTCCCCTGACGGAAGATTCAGCCGTGTTACTCATGATGAACAAAAAATTACAAAAGTAAGATTTGAGAGATGTTTAAGTGTTGTGTAATAAGATTTGAGGAATTTGTAATCAACCAAATACATCCCCAACCTATTTATACATGTTTAGGGTGGTAAAATGGTAATTTTTTAAAGAAAAAAACGGTCAAAAACGGTCACAAAACCCCCCCAACGGCTATATTAACGGCTAGTTTTTTAAACCCAGACCGATTTTTTTTTCCGGATAAAAACCGGTTTTTTAACCGGTTTTTTATCCGGTAAAAAAACCGGTCTAGGTTTTTTTCTCCAAACCGGTTAAAATAACCGGTTTAAAAAAATCCGAACCGGTTAAAAAAAACCGGTTTTTCCCAAAACCGGTTTTGGATATTTTTTTCGGATATTCGGATATTCGGATTTTTTGTGCACCCCTAACCACACCTAACTTCATGAGAACCTCTTCTATCAATCAAAGAATATGAGATATTCACTAAATCCAAAAAGTATTAGTGACCTTTGGTGTGAATTACCCGGAAAGTATTGATCAAAGCTACATATGATTGCTCGATGTTGAGACTGTTAGAAAAGATTTTATCGGCTATTTTAATCATATCTAAGGTATCTTGTTTTACCATCAATGATTTACGTGCACCGATGAAGCCTTGCCTTGCCTCAAGTTCAGTCATTCCCAACAACTGCAAAAACAAAGTTAGAAAAAGCAGTGAGAACAGGCCCCTGGTAAGTATTTCTGTGACAATCTCATCAATTCAACTTACCCCTTTCATTCACCTCTTGGATGATATAATTCAAATAACTGATAAAATCTTTTCTAACGGTCTCGATATGAACAGCACCTTCTAAAGGATCATAATATATCTGCACGAGGAAGGTCACGAGAGAAGCATCGCATTCTAGGCCTCCAGGGCCATCAGGCATTATAGCAAAACCGGAAGGGTTATGTTAGCCATTCTATGATCACAGTCCTCATAAAAGCTTTGCTTTCCGCAAACAATGTGAACGTTCACAAACTCTTCAGGAATAGTTTTGGATAGGATAAAGGAGCAATATTCGTCCACTGAAACTTCCTGTAAGATGTATAAGGTTCCCTGATACAACGAGAAAGTGGAAACGAATGACTGAGCGAACACTAGTAAAAAAAAAAAGGAAAATTTTGGGTTTTATTTGTGAGCATACTTTTACCTGTTCTGTATTCCTTCTGTGCAGGAAGTTGATATTACTTTTATCATCAGTGGCAAATGTGAACAATTGCTCAGGCTCCTCATGGACCTCATCAATCTCAGAGTTTGAAAACGCACAGAACTGAAATGCACATTCTATTTCATCAGAAATGGACAACAATTGGTTTAAAAGATTTATTTCTTTCATACCGCCAACTGTAGATCCCTTTTCATTAAAAATTGAAAAAACTGAGAGCGGTTTATCTTGAACCCTGAAGCTGTTTAGGCCGACATCTGTTAGCGTTCGGTTATGCAGAATCCTTACTGGATCTTAATCACTAGTTGTTACAGTAAGTACAGCTTTATCGGGATGCTGAGAAACACACTCCATAAAGAAACGCTTCATGGGTTGGGTTAAAGCCAAGAGAAAAGAAACAGCTGCACACCACAACACTGACAAATGCTAGAATCAAAAAGTTTAATGTCCGAGAATAAAACTGAAAAGAAAACAAGACTTGTTAGTACCTCTGGGATGCACATCAATTTTGATATCAGCAAAAGAGCTCTTGTCACGCTTCAGCTTCCATAATAGTGTGCTTATCCAACGATGTGCACAGTATGCCAAGTGGGAAATGATTATTGAGTACAAGTTTTCTCTGATTTCCTCCACTTCCACATTCTCAATCCATATAATCTGTTCGAGAAGAAATTTGGAATACTAACTGAAAAATATTTTTCCATTACACTGAAGCAACTGTAAGGGAAAAACAAGTTATAAAAGACTACAAACCTCAGAATCTTTAGGTCCATGTTCCCTGATTATTACCGCTGATGGTCTCTTTTCACTATTACACTTTGCATGAGGATGACCAACATAATGGCTTGTGAAATCAACAATTATGTAAACACCATCCATTATCTCTTTAACATAGAGCAAAAATTCGAAATATCTAGTCGGCACCAATGTTGATGGTAGTTGAATCTCTGCATGCACCTGTGCCAATCATATATACATGGAACATACAAGTTTAGTATAGGGGACAAAATCAAAGACAATCGTGCCTGCAAATCTCAATCTCAGCTAAACAAACATGCATTGGTTGACAGATGAGCAAATGACACTAACCAAATGGAAGTGAACTCCATGAAAAGAAGACCAGTTTACCTCTATTGCACCCCATATGGTTACATCAGTTATGCTTAAATCCCGAAGACCCCCAATTACTTTATACTCCTCTCCATGTTTGACTAAGGGAAACAGTGACTTTTAGACCACTTATTGTTCTGGAAACATATACAGCAAGAGCATAAGAAGGGACAACTTCTAATGATTATGAAGTATGAACCATTGATACACAAAACTTGCAATATCAGATCCACTACAATTCTCAAGTCTTAACAAAAGGGAATCTAAGAAAAATATGAAATACTCACCACATGCATCATGATAGCGACCATCTCAGATGCTGGGATATCTGGAATGACTGCAGTTGCAGCAGAGAATTCTATCTTTTTTCCAGGAAGAGGTGGAGTTCGGAACACATTTACAAGATCATCCAGATTACCTAACCAGGGCTTTGCTCGAACCCAAGTGCCTGCTTCCTTTGCCAGTGTCATGACCTCCAGGTAAGCTGCCTTTCAGTGATCGTTTGCAAATTGCAATATTTGGTAGTCAGTAACTAGTCGTTTACGAGTAAGTGGTCTGAACAATATTGAAGAGTCTATACAGGCGTATATTCTATTTGCAGAAGGCTTGTCTTCCTTTTTATGCCTATTCAACTCAATAGAAGAGGGTCCATTGCATTTGCCTTCCTTTGTAGAAGTTCTAGTTCTTTCTTCATCTGCAAAAGCTCCACCCGTAGAGTTTTCGTGATCATCTACATATATCCTTATCCTCCTACACCTAGAAGGTCCAGGAAACTGCAGCAAGCGACTTTTGTCAAAATCAAAGATTTAAGTATCATTTTAGTTTTTCTCTTAATTATTGCACTTAAATACTAAAATGCTTCATCTTTATTGTTTCAACCAAAAAGAAAATTGGTGAATTTTTATACTACACCGGTCTAGAGTCCATCACCAGATCTTCGACACCTTGGTTTCCAAGCCTGAAAGACATAAAAAAAATTGAAAGTCAAGTTTACAAAAAACAAGAAAAAAAAATAATGTTCTCAAGGTTTCTCATGCGCTCTCCAAGAAAAGAAAAGAAAATACCTGAAGAAGATTAATTAGCTGTCCAAGAATCAAAATAAAGTGATTGAAACTACAAGAAAGAAAAAGGCCAAAGAGAAGAAAACGAATTTCTTGGAAAATTAATGTGATACATTCATAAGTTTATCAAGAAAATTTGTTTGTTCTTCGATACTGATGATTCAAAATCAAATGCAATCTATCTTTCAATTCAATGAAGAAAAATAGGAACGGAAAAGGATAAAAGATAAGTAAAACAAAGAGCAGAAAAAATACCTCGGAAAACAAGAACAAACTCAAATATTTCTTCAGATGGAGAAGAAGTTGAGAGAGAGAGAGAGAGAGAGAGAGAGAGAGAAAAGGGCTTTAAAGAGGGTTTTTTATAGTGAGATTAAGGATTGTTTCTGTTTCCAGTTATACTCCCGCCAGAACTTGAAAAGTCTCCAAGGGTTTAAGGTAGTTATATAAGTTGACGCGTGTTTCCGTTGGTCTTCTAGAAGCAAGATAGATTGAGTATAAATTATGAAGTGTTCAATCGGTTAACTCGGTTAACTTATTAATTGATTATCCAAAATTCATTAAACGAATTGTTTATTTTTTAGCAGTTATAATTGAACTATTTTTTTTAAACAAATTAACCAAACCGAACTAAATTATGTTAATTGGCCTGCTAACTAAATTAATCAAAATTTATAAAAAATATATTTTATATATTAAATATTAAATATTTTTATTTTATTTGATTATTTTGGTCGGTTAATTCATTTAAAATCAAAGTTTAAACACCCATAAACTAAATAATATATAGATAATATATAAGTATAAAATATTTAATAATTTCAGTTAATTTTATTAATTAACTCATTTCGAACTTAATTACTCAATAACTTAAATTTGAAAAAAATCACTAATTATTAACCAATTAATCGACTAAAATTTCGATTTGATTGACTAATTCGATTTTAACTAAATTATGAATATGTCTATAAATGTGGGCCAAAGAAAGAAATAGAAATCGATTTAAATTAGATTGTATGATTTAATTTAATTTAAAATTTTATTTTCATTCAGTTTAAACATTTGATAATTTATAAATGACTGCTCCAATTTAAATTTTTTAAAAGAATATTATTTTATTTTATTATTAAAATCACTTAATATATTTAAGCTTAAAATATACTTTCTTTGGATTATCTTCAAACTTTAATTAAAGCAATAATGACACTGTAGATACGCCTATAGAGACCCTGAAATTGCATGTAAAAAAAATAGAGATCCTCAAATCAAACCATACTTTTTTTCCCAGTTCTAAAATAGGTTCACCCAGAAAATCCCTCTGTTTGCTCCGTGTTTCTCTGTTTTCAGTCACTCTCTTTGGTGGGTCTCTTACTTCCTTTACAATAGCTGCAGATTTCACCAACTTAGTCTTCAAGGGCAGTGCAGACCAGAAATTTCAAGACGCATCAGGAGTTTACTTACAGAACCTCATGTCAACACTGGTTTCACAGTCATCACTGAAACCATTCTCCAAGGCAAGCTCCGGCGAGGACACGAATGCGATAATGGGGCTTTACCAATACAGGGGAGACCTTACAACGACCCCGTGTTATACCTGCGTCAGTAAGATCCCAGAAATGATTGATAAGCTTTGTGGAAAAGCTGTTGATGCTTGGATTCAGCTGAGCAGTTGTTATCTGAGGTACGAGATCGTTGGGTTCAAACAGGTGCCGGCGACTGAGTTTCTGTACAGGGTTTGTGGGTCATCGCAGGCGAGTGAAGCCGAGCTCGAGAGCAGGAGAGACGCCGCTTTCAACACGGCAGAGAATGGTGTAAAAAGTGGTGGCGGGGGCAACTTGTTTTACACCGGACAATATGTATCGTTTTACGTTTTGGGGCAGTGTGAGGGTGATTTGGGAACGAGTGATTGTGGGGATTGTGGGAAAAGTGCTTTTGAGGCTGCAAAAGAGGACTGTGGTGACTCGGTTTCGGGGCAGGTTTATCTGCACCAGTGCTACATTAGCTATAGCTACTATTTTGATGAAGCTCATGTTGCGGAATACGGTTATCGGATAGAACAAAATCGTTACTGATAATTTAAGAAAATAAAAATGAAGATAAAGAAGACACAAATTTTACGTGGAAAATCGCTAAACAATATAGGGTAAAAACCATAGGCAAAGATAGAAGAATTTTACAATGAGAAAATAGAAATTACAACTTTTCTCGATCTAACAAAGAAAAAACAATAATAATGATCTCTTTATAAAAATGAGAAAACAAATATAAAAAAAAACTCTATAAATTCTCTAGTATTGAGAGAAAACTAGAATGATTTGGGATGATTTTGAAGCCAAATGGGTTAGGGAATTTATAGTTGAAGTTTAGGATTAATCTTGTAAATACCCTAAAGTACATGGACTAATTTAGCAATTTTACCATTTATGTTTTTCAACAATTGCTGCACTGAATTTTGACAAATTATTTTTGGTGTAACAACTTGCACCACCGAAAACCAATTTTCAACAATATCCCATTTGAAGATTTGATTGGAACAATCATATCTTCACACCATTCTTTCTACCTTGTACCATCATGTTGCTTACGTCTCTGACAGGCCATAAGTGGATCGACACTAGGTAAATTTATCAACATTGATTGCCTTCGTCATGAAATCTGCTATGTTGTCTTTGGTATAGATTTTCTGCATATCTATCGTCACTTCTTCCACCTTTTCACGAATGAAATGGTATTGAACTTGTATATGTTTTGCCCTTGAATGAAATGATGGATTCCTTTCTAGATGCAAGGAGCTTTGACTGTCACAAAACAAAGAGACATACTCTTGGTTGTGCCCAAGCTCCTCCAATAACATCTTCAACCAAATTGCTTCTTTACTGGCTTATGTAGCTGCTACATATTCTGCTTCTGTTGTAGATGTAGCCACAACTGACTGCAATTTTGAAACCCAGCTTACAGTTCCACCAGCAATTTTGAACACATATCCTGTTGTAGATTTGCTTTTATCCAAATCCCCTACATAGTCAGAATCGACATACCCATTGATAAATAAGTTTGATCCTCCGTAATATAATGCAACATTTGAGGTCCCTTTGATGTATCTTAGGATTCTCTTTATTGTATTCCAATCCTCTTTACCTGGATTCGCCATGTACAAACTAACCACTTCCAGTGATTGTTCAATGTATGGTCTTGTGCATATCATAGCGAACATTAAACTTCCTAATACCGATGCATACGACACTCGAGACATCTCCATCCTCTCCTCTTTACTGCTAAGACTCATACTGGAGGATAATTTGAAGTTAATTGGAAGAGGGGTAGAAATTGGCTTACAATCTTACATGTTGAATCGTGACAAGATCTTCTTCAAGTAATTCTTTTGTGAAAGCCAAATCTTACTATTATTTATGTCTCGGTGAATTTGTATCCCTAGAATCTTGTTTGTTGATCCCAAGTCCTTCATTTCAAATTCCCTATCCAGTTGTGCCTTCAATTCTTCAATATGATCATTGTTGGGTCCTGCAACCAACATGTCATCCACATACAACAGTAATATAACAAAATCATTATCACCAAACCTCTTGAAATAAACACAAGGGTCTGCATTAAGTCTGTTGTATCCAAGACACATAATGAAGGAATAAAATCTCTTATACCAACACCTCGGCGCCTGCTTTAGACCGTACAAAGATTTGTTCAACCTACAAACCAAGTTCTTCTTTTCTTCTTCTTCAAAACCTTCAGGCTGGAGCATATAAATCTAGTCTTCAAGATTTCCATGAAGAAAAGTTGTTTTAACATCTAGCTGCTTTAGATGTAAATTCAATGTAGCACATATTGTCAAGACTACTCGAACTGTTGTTAGTCGAACCACAGGAGAAAAAATTTCATTGAAATCAATACATTCTTTTTGAGATATCCTTTGACCACCAGTCTTGCACGATACTCTCCACTTGATCGTCACCATTTCACTTGATTTTGAAGACCTATTTGTTACCAATTGGCTTCCTTCCTTGTGGTAGTGGCACAAGGTCCCATGTATTATTTTTATGAAGGGCTTTAATTTCTTCTTGCATCACCATCATCCACAGTAAAGCATCTGATCTTTTTATTGCCTCCTGGTATGTTGATGGCTCACCATCCTTTGTTAAAAGGCAGTATGCAATATTTCCTTCTATAACATAATCTGAGCATCAATTTGGATGTCTTCTCACACGATCTAATTGACGAGTTGTTGGAGCTTCAGAACTCTCTGGTTTTTGTTCATCATGTGCTGGTTCTGCTTAAGAAGAATATACTTGTTCAAACTCATTTTCCACATTTATCTGTGTAGTCTCTGACTTTTCAGTGCTATCATCTTCTTCTTTTCTTTGTAGTTTATCTTCTACAAAGATAACATCCCTACTGATGATCACTTTGCGGGCAGTGGGATCTCACAAGTGATACACCTTTACTCCATCAGCATACCTCAAGAATTTGTATTTCCTGGATTTTGGATCCAACTTTGAAATTTATTGGGAGTTTTATATCACATACGCAATACTTCCAAATACATGGAGGTTTGAATAATCAGCTGGTTTACTAGTCTACATCTCCATTGGTGTCTTCAGCTCTATTACAGTTGATGGAGCTCGATTCACCAAATAACAGGTGGTATTGACTGCTTCTGCCCAAAATGATTTTTCTAGGCCTGCAGCCCTCAACATTACTCTTGTTCTTTCTAACAAGGTTATGTTCATATGCTTTGCCATTCCATTTTGTTGAGGAGTGTTCACCACTGTGAACTGTCTTTGATGTCTTCTTTCTTGCAAAAGTCATCAAATTCTTCACTTGTGTATTCTTCTCCATTATTTGTTCTGAAACACTTGATCTTATTTCCAGAATCAAGTTCTACCCGTGCTTTGAAGTTTTTTAAAGTTAAAAACACATCTGACTTATTCTTAATAGGATACACCCAACATCTCATGGAGTAGTCATCAATAAATGAGACAAAGTATTTTGCTCCACCTAGGGATGTAACTGATGCTTACCATACGTTAGAATTATCTAATTCTAGAACACTTTTGACTCTAGAATTTGACGTGTTAAATTTCAACTGGTGTTTCTTACTTGTTATGCAATGTTCACACAAAGTAAGTGATACCTTTGTTATGCCTGGAAGTAGTTTTTTCTCCACAAGGACTTTCATTCCTTGTTCTGACATGTGTCCAAGTTTCTGATGACATAGCATTGCAGAATCTGAACTACATGAGGCAACAGAGGCTTCTATTTCTAGCAAAGTCTCTCCCTTCAGCATGTATAAGTTTGCTGCTATATTTTCACCTTTCATCACCACAAGCGCTCCACGAAACACCTTCATGATTCCTTTCCATGTTTTAATCTTTCTTGCATTATTATCCAACAATCCGTAGGATAATAAATTTTTCTTCAGGCCTTTCACGTGCCGCACATCTCGAACAACTTTAATTGTTCCACCATACATCTTCAATTTGATGGTTCCCATGCCAACGATCTCTAAGGCATGATCATTGCAACTATACACAGATCCTCCTAAGACAGGTTCATAATGATGAAACCATTCTCTTCTTGAGGTCATGTGATATGTTGCTCCTGAATCAATGAGCCATATATCTACAAATCTCTTTCCATAATATGAAGTGTTTGTTGTATTGCCTTGTGGATTGGAGTTTTATTTAGACTCCAACAATCCTTCTTCAAGTGACCCTTATTTTCATAGTTGTAGCACTTTAAATCCTTCTTGCTTCTCGACTTTGATATACTATGTTTGTGACTGCTTCTTTGGCCACTTTCTGTTGATCTCCCTCTCATCGTTGTCAACGCTTCTGCTTGTTATAGATTTACTTGTCTGTCTTCCTTGTTCTTGCACTGATTTTCTTCTTGTAGAACAGCAGCTGCAACATCATCGAAGACTAGAATGGTGACATTATTGTTTGTCAAGTTGATGATGAGTTGATCATACGAATCAGGTAGACTTTGAAGTAGAAGTTCAGCACGTTCTTGTTCTCCTATTGTACATCTTAAGGATGTAAGCTGAAAAAATAAAGTGTTCAATGTGTTTAAGTGCTCCGTCACTGAAGTAGATTCTGGCATCCGGAGAGTGTATAATTTCCTCTTAAGGAAAATTTTATTGTGCAACGATGTGGCCTCGTACAGTTTGGTGAGATGATCCCATATCTCCTTAGATGTCTTATTCTTCTCGATGCTTGACAATACTTCATTTGCTAATGGTAGATGAAAATTTACCATAACATTCCCGTTTTCGATCCATTTGTTGTCATCTGTGAAATTTACCAGCATTTCACTGATAGCTGCTAGACAACCGTCTTTCCTCAGGAGTGCCTTCATCTTCAATTTCCAAAATGAGAAATTTCTCCCATTGAACTTTTCAATATCAAATTTCGTTGCCATAACTTCTATTACGGATAGCTCTCACTATTTCACTATCGTGAATAGTTCTCTAAAACCTTCAAAGAATGGGTAATACCTTATTACTTTCTTATGTTATAAGATCTACCTTTTGGTGGCAACCACAAATACAATAAGTAGATATTACACACTCAAATCTGGCTCTGATACCAATTATTGCGGAATACGGATAGAGCAAAATCGTAACTGATAATTTGAGAAAATAAAAATGAAGATAAAGAAGACACAAATTTTACGTGGAAAACCGCTAAATAATATAGGGTAAAAACCACAGGTAAAGATAGAAGAATTTCACTATAAGAAAATAAGAATTACAACTTCTCTTAATCTAACAAGGAGAAAACAATAATAGTTCTCTCTTGATAAAAAGGAGAAAACAACTCTAAAAAACTCTCTAAATTCTCTAGTATTGGGAGAAAACTAAAATGATTTGGGATGATTTTGAAGCTAAATGAGTTAGGATATTTATAGTTGAAGCTTAAGGACTAATCTTGTAAATACCTTAAAGTATATGGGTTAATTTAGCAATTTTACCATTTAAGTTTTTCAACAATTATTGCACCGAATTTTGACAATTTTTTTCGGTACTTTCGATGCAACAACTTGCACCACCGAAAACCAATTTTCAACAGCTCCGACCATATCCCCATCTTCTGGTAAAGAACAATAAATTATCTTCCAGTTCTACATTAACATGTATGTCAAACTTGGTTTCTTGCACCAATCTATCCCTTTGTTTTTATTTTTTTATACTTTCTTCTATGATCACCTCTTGAAAAACTGAAGAAGATAATTTGCAAGCTTGAATTCTCGGGCCAAGGCTCCACCTGGACCTCTAAGTTTTCGTTTTATGCTCTAAAGATAAAGCAAATGACTTTAAACAATGATGTAGATCGTGGCTAATTAAAAAGAGATTGGTCTTTTTGTGAAGAATACATGTGGATTTCTATTTTGTTTCCTATGGTTTTTGTATTTCCACTTTATAAAATCGGATCAAATAAAAATCCATCGGATTCAAATATTAGTATAATAATAATAATCTTGTAGAGGTCCCTTGTTTATTAATGGTCCTTTAATTTATGTTAGTATCCTAGCTTCATTCTTTGTCTTAGAATCTTCACCTAATAAGCCAACATACTTGCAAAATAAAATATGGTGTGGTGGTTTTTCAACTGGTGTAGGGACAAGGACAGGTACGATGAGGCAAAGTACTCAGAGGACGGTGGCAATCGTTTTCGGAGGAGTGGCTGCTTTGGGGTTCGTTATCGTTTGCCTCATGTTTCTAAAATCAATGTTTAAGAAACGAAGAAGCAAGCTTTCAGGTTATGCTACAATTTCTAACACATTTACTCATCTCTCACAAGTGTCAGATCATTAATTTTGTCGATACTGGGAAATTATACATTTTCTGACATGATTATGTGCAGGGTATTGAGAAAATGAGCTTTGCGGTCTAAAATGTAGAAATTTTCATGGGAAAATGTCAATCTTCGCCACAGATGAATACTAACCATTTTAACTTGCAGCGCATGTTATTTTTTGTAGCTTATAGGCTGGTCTTTCATATGTATATACATTTTCTATGTATATGTATATATATAATAACATATATCAAGAGTTTTTCTAAGATTCATATACTTGAAGAATTGTAACTTCATAATTATTATCAAATATCTACTGAATGCATAAGTCGAATGTGTACACTTTTACAGGAAATTTTCATTCGCTGGCTATTTAAGTGCTTGCCAAGGCTTCGGGAATGCTATCGATATCGCTAGGCACCATACATTCATCTCCATCTTCATCTATTTCCTAGAGAAAACTAGCATAAGCTGCTTGAACATGGCTGTAACAACAGAAAAATCAATGTTTTTTTTAGAATGTAAGTTGAGAAGTTGAATAAGAAGAAATGAATAACATCTGGTTTTATTATTATTCCATCTCTGTAACTACAACACAACTAGCTTATATAGTAGTCATGACTTCAAGCTTTCTCAATCTCACAACTACCTGTAACAACATCCATAACAAACTTCATACGTCACTATTCTTAACAACCATAACAACTCACACACACACAGTAAAGCTCAGTCAATGCACACATTAGCATTCTACATACTCCAATATTCTCACTACTCTTTTCATTCTCCTTGAGCAAATGAGAAAACATGCACTTTAGGTCGAAATTGCTCAAACGAAGATTTGGACAACGATTTAGTAAACCATCCATTCTAGTTGAATTGAAAGTACGATAACTCATTCCGTTCGACTTGAATTTGAAGTGCGATGCTTCCTTCCGTTCGACTTGAATCGAAAGTACGATGCCTCCTTCCGTTCGACTTGAATCGGAAGTGCGATGCTTCTTTTCGTTCGACTTGAACCGATGCAAACTTTTGATGTGAATGAACATTAAAAAAAAATTCTAAAAAATTATATTCTATAAAAATGTGAAACAAACCAGACACCAGCAACATCATTGAAACATTTGGTCGAATAGATTGGAAGCATGAACATACGAATTGTGATTAGGATCAACCGCTTTTCCTTGAGCAAGATTGAAACTCATCGAAAGTGTTTCAACTTGAGTATCAAACCCAACAAGTTAAGTTTAGACAACAGTACATAAGCTTTTCAGGGAAAGTGATTCCCTCATGGCAATTATAACAAAAAAAATGGTTGATATTCACACGACAACCCCTTTAAAATACTGACCACATGCTCCATCGACGAAATCAGATTTCCACAGGAGGCAAGAACATTGCACACCTCTTTAATTCGAGTAAGGTAAACCCATATTGTATCACTACCTTTCTTGAGCGATTGAAGTTTATAATGGAGGCTCATTACTATCGTTGTCGACCGGTTTGCAAAGAATTACAACACACGCACTCCAGATGACCTCAAATTTCTCAGTTTTTCCCAACACTATCTCAATCTTAGCTTTCTCGAACTGACGACCCTTTCGATCCTAATGGGTGTTGAGCACAATCGATGTCATTATTCATTTCTGGATTGCAAATCTATTTCGCTTCAGGATCTCAACTATGGTAACAATAGTAGGAATAGCCATTCCTAAGCCTCAAAGTTCAACCTCGTTGAACGTATTGATGTACCTCTTGGCATTCAAATAGAAGATGAATGACTTCTTGGTGATGGAGACTTGCACCTCTTTCTTCTGTTTCTTTTTCTTATCGTTCTTCATGCTCTTGGTCTCTTGGACTGACTCGACAGTTACTGTTGGAGAAATGGTGAGAGCAACCTCGGCATGGTGATTGGCGGTGACAACTACATCAACGATAATCTGTTTCTTGTCATTCTCTAAGTTGAAGTCATCGCCGGAGATGATAGTCTCCTCGATCTTGGCTTCTTCGTTGGCTTTAGGTCTCTTCGATTCAACTCGTTCAACTACAATGCTCGACTCCATGAGTGAAGAAACAGAAAGAAAGAAAATCTAGAAGCGTGAAAACAAAATGCCCAGAACCTTGGCGAAAGGTACCATGTTGAGAAGTTGAATAAGAAGAAATGAATATCAGCTGGTTTTATTATTATTCCATCTCTGTAACTACAACACAACTAGCTTATATAGTAGTCATGACTTCAAGCTTACTCAATCTCACAACTACCTGTAATAACATCCATAACAAACTTCATACGTCACTATTCTTAATAACCATAACAACTCACACACACAGAGTAAAGCTCACTCAATGCACATACTAGCATTCTACATACTCCAATAATGTAGATTACAATATACATATTAGGGAAACAATGGTGAAGAGTGAAAGAAAATTACGGTTACCAATCTTGAGGAGAGGCTTGAACTGCTCATTCGAAGTAGCTTGAAGCTCTTTCTTCATCACGGTGTAGCTCCCATACTAACTTGGCATATTGCGATAGGGTTTCACCATCTTTCAGATCCGCTAGAATGGCTCGACTGTAATACTCTTTTTGACTGTTAAAAAATGCTCTCAGTGATTACCATATCAGAAGAAAGAAAATGGAAAGGTGAATTAAGTGTAAACTAGTAATCGAAAACACACCTGATATAAAAACTGAGCATAATTCCCCAAAAATATAGGGTTCCTTGGATTTTCCTTCACCATTCTCTTGTAATACTCCTCGATTTCACCATCTCCATTAGAGTATGCTGAGTTAAAATCACCTCCACTGCCTCCCCAATCGCCACCCCTCCTGTCACCATCATCCATGGATGCCTCAAGTCCTATAGAAAGAAACATTTCTACACCCACTAACCCTTTTTCATCACTGACTGTAACCTGCTCATTCAATGACGGTTTCTCCAAGCTGATTGAGTTGAATCCATAACTACTACCATTTACTCCAGCCATTACCTCTTCTTCTTCTCCTTCGGAATCATTCTCGTCTTCTTCCTCACGCCTCGAGCCTGAATTATAAAATGAAAAGGATGGTATGGTTTGCAACACCAAGCACTTGTTTCTTGCAGACAACTTCTTGTGTTGGTTCTGATTGTAAAATTCATCATTACCATTACAAGCAGAATAGGCCAGTCCTTCCAAGTTCCCATCAGATTACGCCCGACGAAAACCTTTGATTTCGAAATCCGAACTTTGGTCGATGATAGAAGGGGATATAGGAGAGGAACCACAAGAAACTAGTGTAGAAAGGTGGACTGAGCCTGGAGATGGATGAAATGAGAGTCTGTTGCCATGAAATAAGCTTGATGGGTAGCACCTTAAGGGGGTTATGGTTTCATGGTGGTGATTGTTGTTGTTAGGACTATCAGCAGCTATGTAAGATATGAGTGATCCAAGAACCGGAGTTGAAGAACTTCTTAGCAGCATACCCCTATTCTAGTTTTGAGAAAGAAAACAATGTTTTAATAAACAGTTGATTGAAGAAATGCAAAATGTTGAGAATCAAAGTTAGTGTTATTATTGGAACTTTTTATAGGAAAGAAAACAAATAAGAAATGAACATGCATATTCCTATTTGGTTAATTATAATTTTCTATGTTTGGTTCAAAAGAAATATAATTTTCTAGGATGTTTAGAATTATATTTCCCAATAAAATTTATAATAATTTGTGTGGTAGGCATAGCTTTGATTTGATCTTCATGGGGAGGAAAACTTTAACACCCTACTCCAATTAGACCTGAAGATCCCTAGATTACAATGTTACATGGGACTACCGAAATAGTGACAATTTGTTTTTATTTTAACACTGCTTGTAAATCTCTAAAATTTAGACATCCATAATGTAATATAAAAACATAGAAATAAATTGAGTTTATAATTAATGGGGAGCTCCCAAAATAAACCCGCAAAAAATACAAAATAATGAGTTTCAAAAGAGTTATGACTGAATACATAACAAGGTCTATAACAGTACATGCCCTCTAAAGATGACTCAAGACATACTCTGAGAGGTCTCTGAAAATCTGCTCTGTTGCACTAGAATATCTGATGACGATAACTCCCAACAATTTTCCCCTAAGAACTTGCGTACGGAAACACATTCCAAACATTGAGCTTTCGAGCTCAATGTCTCACTAAAAACTGTACTATACTATATGCATTCACTACATGAAATGAAAATATCATAGGTATGAGTGTACAACTACTGGACTGCTAATCTGTGGCTGACATCATGATACGACTAAGGGATTTTGTATCTCGGAGCTCACGCACCCCTCTAGCACTACCGAAGCACCATCGGGTACTCATGGGTGAGATCCAGAATTTTTTATCGGAATATACACCCACCGACTTACTTCATCGAGTCTTGGGGCATCTGCGCCCAGTCGACTACTATAGTGTCGTGGCACTGACTTGGATCCACTGACTATCGTATTTCTTCTAAAAGGGGCTCGAGTGTCCTGATTATTTTCTCGAGCTTTCAAACAAGGATAGTTTTATTTAAACCTAGCTATTTTTGTTTCTTCTATCCTTATATTAATTATTGTTCTCGCTTGAAGTCTTATTGGAGGATATACTAAAGGGTTGGGATACCTTGAGTCTAATTCCCTTAAAAACTGGATTTTTGTCCAAAATAGACTGAAAAGTATCGATACTAACCCAAGAGTATCGATACTCTTGAAAAGTTTTGAAATTTATTTAAGTGTAGATACTTTTAAACATTATGTTCTGCCTGGTTTTAAATTTTTATGGGAGTTTCGAAACAATGACCCAAAGTATCAATACTCTTTTGAGAGTATCGATACTCTTGTCCAAAAACTCACGAGTTTTCCCGAGAAGAAGAACAAGTTTTGATACAATCCCTTTAGTATCAAAACTCATCCTGCATAGAGCATAAAATATGTAACCACCTAGACCCGGCCTGGAGGTTATGCTTATTTCTAGGTGATTACGTATCACATTCAGAAGTTCTTTTTATTTTAAAACAATATTGAAATCCATGTTTCATTAACATATGAAATTTATCCATAATAA